AATATAATATAATATAATATAATATAATATAATATAATATAATATAACATAATATAATATAGACTGAAGGAGCTAGTGTTCCCATGGCATTTAAAAAAATAAAAAAATTGCCCATAGTCACCTCCAGCAAAGTGAGCAGCAAATAAATTCCACGCATGCGTGCATCCACGCGTGCCTTCATACACCCAGACACGGATACATACCGGATGGCTGTTTTCTTGAATGGGAGTCCGGTAATCCCCCATATTCTGGGGGGGCAGATTGGCAGATGAAGCGGTCAGTCGCGAGGGAGACCACGGAAGGGCTTGGGCCTCAAAATTTCCAGGACTCAGGTCACTCACGTCAGGCCGGAGAGGCGGAGCTGAAGGCCGATTGGCAGCTGGGGGTGCTGAAGGTGCTGGAGGGGTCCTGGGGGCTGGGGGAGGACATTGTTGCACGCGGGCGGGCATTACATGCGCGGAGAGAGAGAGAGAGAGAGAGAGGATGCAGTGTCAGCCCTACCAGGCAGACCAGACAGGAAACGCCACCAGGCGACCTAATTCTACTTTACAGATAGTCCTCGACTTTACAACCGTCTGCTTAGGGACCGTTCAAAGTAGCTTAGGATGGTTTTTCGCACTTACGACCGTTGCACCATCCCCACCATCCCGTGATCCGAATTCGGCTGCTTGGCAAGCGCCTCACAGTGAGGACGGACGCAGTGTTTCCCGGGGGCCACGCCATGCCCTCCTCGACCTCCGGAGACAAGCAGAGTCAAGGGGGAAGCCGGGTCCTCTTAACAACCGCCTTCCTCATGGAACAACGGCAGTGATTCGCTTAGCCACGGGTGGGAAGAAAGGCCGCGAAAATGGAGCCTTTCTGTTCAAGTTCCACGTTGCTAAGCGGGAGAGTTGTTAATCTCACGTAGCAACAGAAATAAATTGGCCTTGATTGTGGTCGTAAGTCGAGGACGACCTGTACTGTAAAACTACATTAGCAGAAGTTTGCAAGTCAGAAAGTACAATTAATTCTTCCATCTCGTTTACAACCCAAGAAACTCAAAGAGAGTCTCTCGTGAACCTCCTTCCTCACCCATTATCCCACTCAGGGCTATGCTGCCTCTTATCTGACCATTGCCTAGGTCCGTGATGGTGAACCGGTGGCACTCAGAGGTATTTGTGCCGGCACACGAGCCACAGGCAAACTTATTTCACTGCGCATGCGCGTGCCTCACAACTGATTTTCAGGTCTGTTTGAAGCCTTTTTCAGCCTCCCAGAGGCTTGAGGAAAGCCTTTGCAGGCCGAAAAAGGCCTCAAATGGCCCGAAAATTAGCTGGGAGGCACAATGCAGGTAAGGGAGCGGGGAAAGGTGATTTGGGGGGGGGGGAAATGCACACATTGCCTGCTGGGTGCTGACATGCGAGCACAAGTGCACGCACAATTTTTGGCACAGGAGTCCAAAAAGGTTAGCCGCCACTGGCCTAGGTACCCCTTATACGGGTCTCCCAAAATCTTCCCCACGTACAGGCAGTCCTTGACTTACAACCATCCCTTGAGCCCACAATGTTTTGACCAAGGCTTATGGACACACTAACAAACACGTTTGTTCCAAACCCCTTTTTTCTTTATTTCAACGGCTGGGAATTTTAGTCATTCTCAGCCTGTATTGAGCCTCCAACAGTTTGTAAATAGTCCCATGGAAGCCTGCCAAAGTCCTTCAGGATAAGTCTGTTAAGCACCCACCTTTATCTCCCTTGAAATGCTGCCAACGAGTAAATTTGCAATTCGTTATGTGAGGCCAAAATGGAGCACAAATTCAACACGGAGTTTCAGATTTTAAACTGAATGCAATATTCTAGGTGTGGCCTTACTAAGGCTTTATAGAGCGGTATTAGTACCTCCCTTGTTCTTGATTGTATCCCTCTGTTAAAGCAACTTAGGATTGCATTGGCTTTTTTGGCTGCTGCTGCACACGACTGGCTCCTATTTAGCTGGTTGTCCACTAAGACTCCAAGATCCCTCTCCCAGTTACTGCTACTGAGCCTGGTTTCACCCAGTCTATATGCGGCTTTTGGTTTTTCTTGCATAACAGATGATAATCAGAGTTGGAAGGAACCTTGTAGGTCATCTAGTCGAACCCCCCACTCAAGCGGGAGACCCTACACCATTTCTGACAAATGGCAGTCCAATCTCTTCTTGAAAGTCTCAAGTGATGGCGCTCCCACAACTTCCAGAGGCAACTTCTGTTCCGTGCGTTGATTGTTCTCACTGTCAGAAAGTTTCTCCTTATTTCCAGGTTAAATCTCTCCTTGATCTGTTTCCATCCATTATTCCTTGTCTGGCCTTCGGGGGCTTTAGAAAATAGCTTGACCCTCTTCCTCCTCCCTGTGGCAGCCCCTCAGATATTTGAATCCTGCTATCCTGTCTCCCGGTCCTTCTCTTCCCTAGACTAGCCAGGCCCAGTTCCTACAACCATTCATCATAGGTTTTAGCCTCCATTCCCTTAATCATCCTGGTTTCTCTTCTCTGCCCTTTTTCGAGAGTCTCAACATCTTTTTTATAGTGTGGAGACCAAAACTGGGTGCAGGACTCTAGGTGTGGCCTTACTAAAGCTTTACAGAGTGGTATTAGTACCTCCCTTGATCTCGATTGTATCCTTCTGTTAATGCAACTTAGGATTGCATTAGCTTTTTTGGCTGCCGCTGCACACGCCTGGCTCCTATTTAGCTGGTTGTCCACTAAGACTCCAAGATCCCTCTCCCAGTTCCTGCTATTGAGCCTGGTTTCACCCAGTCTATATGGGTCCTTTGGGTTTTTCCTGCCTAAGTGTAGGACTTGACTTTTGTCTACATTGAATTCGAGAGAGAAATCTTTCCAAGGAGAGAACCAATCTAAAACTAAGGAGAAATTGACTGACACTCATTAACCAGTGGAACTCCTTGCCACCAAAAGTGGTGGCTGCTCCATCACTGGAGATTTTCAAGAAGAGACTGGACGACAACTTGTCTGAAATGGCCGAGGGGCTCCTCTTGAGTAGGGGGTTGGACTAGAAGACCTCCAAGGTCCCTTCCAACTTTCTTATTCTTAACAACCACAGCCAAAAAAATAAATATTGTCAAATGGGATGCAATTCACTTAACAACTGCCTCAGTTAGCCATGGAAATTCTGCTCCCGATTGTGGTCATAAGTCGAGGACTACCTGTATCGCAGTTTCGGATGACCAGAGGAGACAAATTCGACTTCACCCAAGGCCTTGGTTTAGTTATTGGAGACCTCCAAAGTTCTTCCAGACCTCCTTTTTTTTGGGGGGGGGGGGGGGGGGGGGGGGGGGGGGGGGGTCCCAAAGATGCCAACCTTGCAAAGCCAAATGTCAACTCATAAAATATTTCTATGGTCTTTTTAGAGTTGCCAACAGAAAGGGCGCAGCGCGGCAGATTGCAATCCGAAAGTGCATTCCATAAATGTTTTCAGAGATAGTAACTAGGTGACCGAAGTTTCTGCCGTGCGAAATTCTAACTGGAGAGCACAACTGATGACTCTGGGCTATGGACGTGTCCCATTGGAGAATAGGAATTAGGATACACCCAGAGGGTGCAGGGGTGACAATGAACGATGTGTCTCAGAGTCAGCTACACCCAGGCAGTGCCGGACATGTTAACGCCCAATAAATCCTTTTGAAGTTTTGGAAGTTTGGCTCGAGACTCGTGATTTAAATGGGGGTCACTGCCGGAGTCCTGACAGGAAGCTGTTTGCCCCAAAGAGCCCCAAACCATCTGCGAGGTGAGAAAAAAGCATCTTACGGAGGAGTTTGCTGCGATAGACGCATTCCAGCTTGTCAGCCAAGTCGCCCATCTGCTGTTCGCGGAGAGCTTTTATGAAGTACATCACCCAGCCTTCCCTGCAGCACAAGAGTTGGAAGAAAAGGAATGTGGTCTCGTTGTTTCCTTCGTTGGTGTAGCTGGCTCTGATCTTTTGCTGCGAAAAGGAGGGGGGGGACGACAAAAAGTTGTAAAAAGGGAACGCTTCCCCACCCCCCCCTCCTGCCATCTCTGTCCTTTCGCCAAGGGAGATAGCGTATATACAGGTCCTCAACTGAAGGCAGGTGGGTAGTAATTGTTCTTTCTGCAGTCCTAACTACTCTCTGGAGTCTGTGTCTGTCCGGTTGGGTTGCAGAACCGAACCGGACAGTTCTAGAGGTGCAGATGACGGACTCCATCCTTCTTCTGTAGAACCGGATCAGCAGCTCCTTGGGCAGTTTGAGCTTCCTGAGTTGGCGCAGAAAGAATATTCTTTGTTGGGCTTTTTTGAGGACTCCCCACCGAGGCTCACGGAACGCCGTTAACTTTCCACACTGAAGTAGTACCTATTTATCTACTTGCAGCTGCAGGCTTTCAAACTGCTGGGTGGGCAGGAGCTGCGGAAAACACAGAAAGTCCACGACTTTCTGTTTGTTGAGTAACCATTTGAAGTTACATCGGCACTGAAAAAATGTAACTTAGGCCCTTTGCTGTAGCATCCCCATGATGCTCGCATGATTTGCATTCAGAAACCTGACACCTGACCCACATTTATGACAGCTGCAATGTCTCAGGGACATGTAATCCCCTTTTGTGACCATCTGATAATTAAGGTCAGTGGAGAAGCTAGATTTACTCAGCAACCACTTAGAGAGGGCTTGTAAAGCCCCGTGAAGCGATATATAAGTCTAAGTGCTATTGCTCTTCCTTCCTTCCTTCCTTCCTTCCTTCCTTCCTTCCTTCTTTCCTTTCCTTTCCTTCTTTCCTTTCCTTCCTTCCTTTCTTCCTTCATTTCCTTTTCTCATTCTCCTTCCTGGTGATGCAGTGACTAGAATGCAGTATTGCAGGTTAAGTCTGGCCACTGCCAGCAGTTTGATCCTGACTGGCTCAAGATTCTGACTCAACCTTCCATCCTTCCAAGATCAGTTAAATGGGGATCCTGATTGTTGGGGGCAAGAGGCTGACTCTGTAAACCACTTAGAGAGGGTAATAAACCATTGTGAAGTGGCATGTAAATGCTACTGCTATTCCTTCCTTCCTCCCTTCCTTCCTCTCTTCCCTTCCTTCCTCTCTTCCCTTCCTTCCTTCCTTCCTTCCTTCCTCTCTTCCTTCCTTCCTCCCTCCCTTCCTCTCTTATTTCCTTTTCTCATTCTTCTTCCTTATGGCACAGTGATTAGAAAGCAGTATTTCAGGCTAAATTTGCTCACTGCTAGCAGTTCGATCCTGACCAGCTCCAGGTTGACTCAGCCTTCCAGCCTTCCAAGGTCAGTAAAATGAGGAGCCAGATTGTTGTGGGGACAAGAGGCCGACTCTGGAAAGCGCTTAGAGAGGGGTGTAAAGCACTCTGAAATGGTATATAAGTCGAAGTGCTAATGCTATCAATTCAAAAACATTTACAAGCAGCCCCAATTTTTACACAAAGGGTCCGGGGGGGGGAAGGGAACATCCGTGTAATTACCCGGTCTGTTTCGGTGAAACATTTCAAGTGGATCATTTGGTTCACTTGGACGCGATGGAACATGGCTAGGTTGTGATAGATATATTTCTTCACCTCCCCTTCAGCCAGTTCTTTTCCTCGGTCAGACATATCCAGTTAGTGACTAGGAAAAGAAAAGGAACAGCTTAATCTTCACAACAGGCAGTCCTCGGCTTACAACAGTTCATTCAGTGGCCGTTCAAACTGATAAAGGCAATGAACAAAAGTGGCTTACGACCATTTTTCACACTTACGACCATCGTTAAAATCTTCAAGGTCACAGGATCAACATTCGGACGCTCAGCCCCTGGCCCAGGGTTCCAGAATCATGTCATGTCAGCTCTTGTTAAGTGAAATTCCTCCATCTATTAAATTATTAACACAGTTGTTTAAGTGAATCTGGCTTCCCCATTGACTTCGCTCATCAGAAGGCCGCAAAAGGATCACGTAACCTGAGAATACTGTCCCCATCATAAATATGAGTCAGTTGCCAAGCATCTGAATTTTGACTGGGTGACCACGGAGGACGCTGCAACGGTCGTAAGTGTGAAAACTGTTCGTAAGTCACTTTTTCAGTGCCGCTGTAACTTGGAATGGTAACTAAACGATGTCAACTCGTAAATCATCCCTATGCCTGCTTTTGAGTTGCCATAAACAAGGGGGGTGGGGGGGGGTTGGAAAGTCTGAAGAAACAGTACAGCAGGTTAGAACTAGAAGTACATTCCATGCTTATCTTACAAAGACTGTAGCTAGGCTACCGTATCTTCTGCCCCCGAAAATCCTTCATTGGAGAATGTGATTGATGACACACCCAGGGGGCTGGTGGAGCGGGAAATAGGGTCATAGGTGATAGTAAATTATGTGTCTCAGAGTCGACTTCATATGGGTTAATGCCAGACGTGTAGCTCCTAATAAATGTTATGGATTCTTTTGAAGCTTGGTTCGAGGCTCATGATTTAATTAGGGCCGTGATGGCAAACCTATGGCACGTGTGCCACAGGTGGCACACAGAGCCATTTGTGCTGGCACGGGAGCCGCAGGCAAACTTACCTCACTGCACAAGCGCATGCCTCACAGCTGATTTTCAGCCTGTTTGAGGCCTTTTTCAGCCTCCCAGAGGCTTTGCAGGCTGTTTCGTCACTTCCTGTATTTCCGGAAATACCGGAAGTGATGAAATGGGCCCATTTTTCATCCTGCAAAGCCTGCAGAAGCTTTCCTCAAGCCTTTGGGAGGCCGAAAAAGGCCTCAAACAGGCCGAAAATCAGTAGGGAGGTGCAGTGCAGGTAAGGGGGCAGCGATGGGGGGGATTGCACGTGCATGTGCAGAGAGCATGGGGGGGGGAGCGTGCGCATTGCCTTCTGGGTGCTGGCACGTGAGCCTGCAAGTGCAAGCGTGCACACAATTTTTGGCACAGGAGCCCAAGAAGCCACCACTGAATTGCCGGGATCCTGACAAATGAATTCTTGTTTAGACAAGAACTACCTGTATTTGAACTATGGCATGCTTTTCAACACTGAAACTAGGTGCACTTTGTGCCTCTGGTTATATGTCTATTTATATTAACATATTATTGTTTATATTAAATAATGTTACTATCCTCGCTGTGTAATGAGAAAGCGAAACTGCTCTTAAGAAACCCGATGAGGAAGTCCAGAATTCCTAGGAAAGAAGTTTGAAGGTCATTTCAATTGCTGCTTCAAAGGGCATTTGGAAGCCGGCTATTTACACACTCGTGTTGCCAATTCACAAATAGCAACTGGCTGGCGCATCCAACAAAGAGGCCATTTTCTCCAAGGCTAAAGGGCCGTCCGAAAAAATGCCCCTCTCTTCGCTGGAATCCCAGTGATCGGAATTATTTGAGATTATATTGCTGGCTGAGGAATTGTGGGAGTTGAAGTCCACTTCTTAAAAGGGGCCAAAGGCTGGAGACCTCTGTGCCATCAAGATTTACGAGCAGCCCAGAAATAAAGACTTGTGGACTTCAATTCCCAGAATTCCTCCGCTAGCATGTCTGGCTGAGAAATTCTGGGAGTTCCAAGTCCACAAATCTTAAAAGTTGCAGAGTTTGGAAAACCCCTTGTGCAACCAGGTTTATGGGCAGCCCAGAACCACAGGCATCTTCAATTTTAAGATTGGTGGACTTCAATTAACCCAGAATTCCTCAGCCACCTCTACTGGCTGAGGAATTCTGGGAGTTGAAGTCCACAAGTCGCCAAGGTTGGAGACAATCTCCCATTGTTTTGGTTCTGTCCGTGTAGGTAAGCATTTCCAAATAAAACACCAAGGATTTATTTCCAGATTATGCAGGAGTCGACAAATAGCAAGATGGACCAGCAGCTCCCAATTTCAAATTTGTTGGTGCTTAATAGGGGTCTCAAGAGGAGAGTAAATCCCATTATGGCCCAGTTACTTCTGTCAAAGGGGGCAGGACTTGTAAATGGTTTGCAGGAAGATCTGATACCAAAAATAAAAATAAAAAAACCATTTGTAAGAGCTCGTAAAAGAGAGCCAGTTTGCACCCGTGGTTAAGGCCCCAGGCTGCAAACCGGGAGATAGTGAGTTCTAGTTCTGACTTAAGAATGAACGGTGGCTGGGTGACCTTGGCCAATCACTAAGATTCTAGTCCTGCCTTAAATGTGAAAGCCAGCTAGGTGACTGAGCCAATCGCTAAGAGATTATAAGTTCTAGTCCTACGTCAAATATGAAAGCCTACTGGGTGTGATGACCCAAAGGGGCGTGGCACAAAGGCAACACAATCAAAATAAGCAAGAAGAGTCCCTTTATTATCTCCAACTTTACCCCAATGTCCAGGTTACCTTCAGCTGGAGAAAAAAAACTCTCCCAGGAACAGCCTTTAAGCAGAGGAAATTCAGTCCGAAAACAAACTACATACAAACTGTAAATAAAAATCCACACAAACCACGCTGCAGTAATTAACTGGACAGGGCAGGAGAAGGAATTGCAGGCTTGAAAGGCCAGCAAAATACACACAGTTGGGAAGATGCCAGGAACCCAGGTAAGCCTCGACAATCCCAGATAAATTCGCGATTTGCTCCCAACAACTTGCTGTGCGCAACTTCCCTTTGTAAACCCTGTTCCCAGCTGCAGCTAATGAAGGGAATCAGGGCCCTTTCCATCCCGTAAGCCACACAACCCACATTGCTCCCTTCTCCATTCCTCCCTGAGTGCCCTAGGATGAAGATGGGGTGGGCCTGGGTCATCCTCCAAATTCACTCTCCCTTGTTCTACCTCTTCCCTGCTCTGCCCAGACGGACTTTGCCCTCCCCCAGTTTCCTCCACAGCCAGCGGAGCCACACTCCCTGTCAGCTGTTCAGTCCTCCCCCTCTGAATCAGATTCCGACAGGAGCATGACACTAGGTGGCTATGGGCCAATCACCAGGAGACGGTGAGTTCTAGTCCTTTCTTAGTTCTGAAAACCATCGCTCTCTCTCAGGTTATGATTGTTGGGAAAGTTAGGAAGAAGGAGGGATATTGGTTATGTTCGCTGCCTTGAGTTGTTTATATAAACAGAAATAATGGTAAGAGGTAAACTCAATAAATAAATGGATATACTGAGTGTCTGGGACAACCAGGCAGAAAGATTAAGTGCAGATTACACCCACTTCACCCTGTTATTAAATGTCTATTTTTATGAAGTAGAAAATCGTCAGACCCTACTCCAAGTGGAAAGTTAATAACTCGTTCAGGTTGCAAGTTTTTTTTATAACAAGACAAAGATAAAAATCTGCCCTGTCTCTATGACTCTTGGTTTATGTACTTTGGTTTATAGCTACCTCCCAGAGAGATATGAACTGCATTTTAAAAGCTCATAACATCCAGATTCAAAGGTCTCATTTTATAAAACGTTGGTGAAGCCCTATTTAGAATCTGAGCAGGTCAAAGCTTGCAGGATTTTTGCAGCAACAAAAATGCAAAAATTAAGAATCCGGTTGAAAGAAGAACCCAAAATGTACTGTACAGGTTCTCAATTTACAACCACAATGGAGCCCAATCTTTTGGGGATTATACCTGAAATAAATAGTAAAGAAAAGGTATATTTAATTAATCATGTATTAACTGCAGCTAGAATTGTATTTGCACAAAATTGGAAAAGCTAAAAGATTCCGAAAGACGAGAATGTGATCAGGAAAATATTAGAATGTGCAGAAATGAATAGGTTAACACTTGCAATCAAAGAAAAAGAACAAACTGAATATTATACGATATGGGAATTATTTTATCAATGGCTGGAGAATAGAAATGGAAATTAGACAATGAAAGAAGGCTAATGAAAAATAGTAAACAAGTGAATAAGAATTAAATAGGCTAAGAAGGGGATTGCTACAACAATAAGATTCACAGTGCATAGTAGTATAAAGTAAGAATAGAGTACTGATATTGTAGTAATGAAAATTTACTAATTGTAATTGTTATCGTGCAATATATTTGTATCCAGGCTACATGCTTTTTAAACTGAAGACGGATTGCTTGCATAAAATTAAAAAAAAATTATTTTTAAAAAAAGAGCTCAAAATTTATGTTGCTAAGTGAGACAGTTGCTATGTGAATTTTTGTTGTGGTTAGCCGGCAGCAGGTGCAGATGGCTGAGGAGAGTGAGGACTCAGATGAGGGGCCAGGACCATCACGGAATGGACTGCTGCCTTCAGGGATTGTGGGGGCTGGCAGCAGCGATGAGGAGGTTCCCGAGGAGCCTGTGCCAAGTGCACCTGCGCGCAGGGCTGCTCACAGGAAAGAATAATTACAACAGCACAGGTGACTCAGGAGTAAGGCTGCAAGGTAATGGGCCCTCCCTCAAGAAGATAAAAGCCAGCTGTGAATCGGACGTTCTTTGCAGAAGGCAAAGACGTTTTGATGTCTCGTGGGCATTCCAATATCCTGAGTTTGTATTTGAAGACTCTTGTGTTGTAGAATATCTCTTATCTGTTATTCTTGGCATAGCTTTGGCGAGGCTCATGCTTATCAAAGTTAGTTTGTAGCAGCCTTTTAACTGGGGATTCGTAAGAATCATTACAAGGTTCCCTTTGGTTCGTGCTTGTTTTATTGGAAAAGGGTTTGGGTCAGAACAATTTTCCTCCAATTTACGACCTTTCTTGTCTTAGTTATTAAGTAAATCACTGCAGTTGATAAGTTAGCAACACTGTTGTTAAATGAATTTGGTTTTCCCATGGACTCTGCTTGTCAGAAGGTTGCAAAAGGGGTTCACAGGGACACCCCAACCGTCGTATGAGTCGATTGCCAAGCATCTGAATTTGACTACATGACCAAAGGGGATGCTACAAAGGTTGTACGTGTGACCAACGGTCATAACTCTCAGTCAGTAAATGATCTGTTGTGGGTTGAGGACTACCTGTATTCTGAATATTATAATCAGAGAAAACTGGGTGGGTTTTTTCTTTTTTTGTGTGTGCATATATTACTCCAGTTCTGTGCATTAAAATTCTCTAAAAATTGCTGGAAATCCAAACAGATGTTTAGGTCATTTTCTTTTTAATATCTGCCAGCTGAAAAATCCCAACCTTCACCTTCGTTTTTCTACCTTGTCCTTGGGATGCTTAAGGATTTCTCTGAAATTTCTCAGTGATGCGTTTGTCTCCCAATCTCGTGATTGGGAGGTGGTAAATCTTCGGGGCGCCCCTTTTCACTCATTCTGAAAGCCAACACACACACACACACACAGCAACACTTTGCAATCTGAAAATTCATCCTGAAAGGAAATTTCTCCTAAAATCCTCCTGTGGGATTAAACACGCAGGAAGCTAAAGGAGAAGATTTGGCAAAGGAACAAAAACAACAACAGGGAATTCCTGGGCCGTGTTATCACCCAGGAGAATTGCCCCAGCATTCTCCTCCCTTTTGAGAGAAAAATGGCAAAAGCAAATTCTTTTGCAGCTAAGCAAACGCGGTCAAGAGCCTTTCTGTAATCCAGGCGGAGGGTCTCAATTACAGCAGGCCCCAAAACGGAGGAGGGGATTGAAAAAGAGATGAGAGAATGAGAGAAAGAGGTAGGGAGGGAAGAAAGGAAAAAAGCGAAAGAGAAAGACAGAAAAACAGAGCCGAAAGAGATACATAGGAAAGAAAGGAAACGAGAAAAGAAGGAGAAAAACAGACAGAAAGATACACAGGGAGGAAAGAAAGGAAAGAGAAAAGAGAAAGGAAGAAGAGAAAAACAGAGACAGAAAGTTACATAGGAAGTAAAGAAAGGAAAAGAGAAAGGAAGGAAGGAAATGAGAGAGAGAGAGACAGAAAAACAGTGAAGGGCAAACGACATGGGTTTTTGCAATTTGTTAACAAGCATAGTTGGTTTATATTTTAATCTGATTTCTTTTCCCTCTTTTAAAATGATGTCCAAGTTTATCGGCCTTGAATATTCCTAAATTGATAAAACTGGCTGGAGGCCAGCTCCAGATAAGAAAAAGGTTGTTAGCACTCTCTTTCCAGAACTCCAAACCACCTTTTTCCTTAAAATTTAGGCCCCTTCAGGCACCAGACCTCATTTTAATGAACACATGTGCTACAGTATTATGGGATGCAAATAATGTGACATGTTTGACTACCTATAACTGATTTCCTGTGCAAAGGGGAGGTTACTTTTGGGCTGTCCAATCAACTTTCCTCTTTCAGCGTTCTTTGTTATGTGAAGTCTAAAAAGTGGGGGTAAGTTTAGGATCCTGGTTCCCTCTAGGCATGAGAGGAATCCCTTCTGTCTGAATATCCTGATAAATTGTAATAAAATGATCTTCCCGTCATGGTTTGTCTCATTGGAAAATATGCATGCCAAGGAACGAACCTGAGGCGGCTATTTTTGGCCTTCACAAAGAAAGACAGAGAGAGAGAGAGAGAGAGAGAGATAGGGAGGAAAGAGAAAGAAAAGACAGGCAGACAGAGGAAAGAGAGAGGGAGGGAGGAAAGAAAGAAGGAAGACAAAAACAGAGGGAGAGAGAGAGAGAGAGAGAAAGAAAGAAAGAAAGAAAGAAAGAAAGAAAGAAAGAAAGAAAGA